TCCTGAGGACAAGGCTGGCTTTGATGAAGTCACCACCGCCATGCGCACCATTGGCTTTGACGACGCATTCATCGAGTGTGTCCACAAGCTTGTCGCTGCCGCTCTCCACCTGGGGCAGGTTGCATTCACGCCAAATGGTGCGCTGTGTGTGTGTGTCTCTGTGTCTGTGTCTGTATCTGTCTGTCTGTCTGTCTGTCTGTCTGTCTGTCTGTCTGTGTCTGAGTATGTGTCTGTGTGTCTGTGTCTGTGTGTCTGTGTCTGTGCTTGTTTGTTTAAATGGGTGCCATGCTTCTATGTCTCTTACAAGCTGAGTAACACTGGTTTGCCCTTGTTCCCATGACACACGCATGCACACATGCAGGCGAGAAGTGCACAGTTTCCACACCGGATGTCGTGTCCACCGTTGCCTCCCTCATCGGTACGACAACACAATACACAACACATTCATGACTGCACGCGGACACACACGCACACACAGACATGCACGCGGACACACACGCACATAAGAATGAAGGCACACGTCCAGCCTCGCTTCAACTCCCACCGTGTGTTGCCTGCAGGCACGACAAAGGATGCACTGCTCAAGGCATTGACAACACGTGTTGTTGCTGCGCGTGGTGAAGTCATCGAGACCCCACTCGTACGTGCACTGCACTCTGCTGCATCATGTGGTCGTGTATGCTTCTGTTCATGCATGCATGCGCGTACGTACACAACTCGCAACGTTTGGCACAGGTGCTCGTGTGAGCTTGCACGCTTCTGTCAAAGGCCGCATTCGCGTGCATGCAAAAGATACAGGCCTTCACACGTTCCCACCCATTCACCTCAACATGCACATGCTCGCCAGACGGCAGAGAAGGCGAGCAAGGCCCGCCACGCCCTGGCCAAGTCAATCTATGGGCGCCTGTTCAGCCACATTGTGAAGAACATCAATACGTGCATTGGCGTCAAGGCAGACAAGCACACGGCGCTCGGTGTGCTGGACATTTATGGCTTTGAAATCTTCCCTTCAAACGGGTACGTTGACGGCCAGTGGATAGGACAAGGAGGAGGGTGCAATCTCAATGGGCAATCGATTTGAGTGTACGTGCGTGCGTGCGTCTGTGTGTTTGTATGTGTGTGTGTGTGTGTGTGTGTGTGTGTGTGTGTGTGTGTGTGTGTGTGTGTGTGTGTGTGTGTGTGTGTGTAGTAGAACTGCGCACTGGTGGGGTGTACTTCGTGCAACGCATCATGTCACCCCCATTCCTTGTTTTGCACCTGCCCCGCACATGCGTGATCCCCATCGCAGGTTTGACCAGTTCTGCATCAACTACTGCAATGAGAAGCTGCAGCAGGTGTTCATTGAGCTCGTGCTCAAGTTGGAACAAGACGAATATGCGCGCGAGGGCATCGACTGGGTCAACATCGAGTGAGCGCCTGATTGCGTCGTGTTTGCATGTGTGTATGCTTGTGTCTGTACATGTGTGCATTAGTGTGTATGTTTGTGTCTGTGTGTGTGTGTGTGCGTGTGTGCGCTTATGTGTGTGTGTGTGTGTGTGTGTGTGTCTGTGTGTCTGTGTGTCTGTGCCTGTACTGAACTGCCTGTCCATGTGTCATCCCTCCCACCGACGTAAAGTCGGAGCAATGTGGTGCACACTCACGTTGGTCGCTGCTGTTGTGCATGTCCATTGCATCCTCAACCTCCATCCCCGCACCCCATCCAACTTGATGAAGATACTTCAACAACCACGAGATTTGCGTGATGATCGACGACCCGAAAGCGGTGCGTCAGCTGCGAGTCCTGCAACAGCGTCGACGACGACAACAATGGCTTGCATTGCAATTGAGTGCACACACACACACACACGTGCGCACTGCAAAGGGGACACTGATCACTCAATCTCATTCTTACTTCATTCGCATCACCACCAAACAAACACAAATCCACACACACACACACACACACACACACACACACACACAAACAAACAAACAAACAATCCATCCATCCGTCCGTCCGCCAGGGGATGATTGCAGTTCTGGACGAGCAGTGCGCCATTGCCGGTGGGACCGATGCGGCCTTCCTCGCCAACCTTGATCGCTCCTTCAAGTCGCACGCGCGATACTCTTCGTTCCAGACCGACAGCAGCGACACCTCGTGCGAGCGCAGCCGTGACTTCCGCATCCGCCACTTTGCGGGCGATGTCGTGTACACCGTGGACGGGTTTGTGGAGAAGAACAATGACACGCTCTTCCACGATCTCAAGCGCATGCTGTACAACTGCGACAACGCCGCTCTCAAGGACATGTGGCCCGAGGGTGCCGACCCGGTACGTACGTGCGCATGTGTTGGGGAGGGATTCTATATATCTGCGTGTCTGTGTCCGTGTGTGTGTCTGTGTGTGTGTGTGTCTGTGTGTGTGCCTGTGCCTGTGTGATATGTCTGTCTTACCTACCCGCCACTTTTCTTCTTCCTTGAGGCCTTCCTCTCCGTCTGCCAGTCTTTGTCGATCCTTGCTGCTATTGAGCAATGACCTCACGTTCACGCGGATACGATGTGTACACACACACGCACACACACATACACGCGCGCACACACACACACACACCTGTTCCTTCTGTGACCGCCGCCACCGCCACCATAACCCTTCCTCAGCTGACGGCTGTGCACAAGATGCCACCGACTGCGGCCACCAACTTCCGCACGTCCATGGATGAGCTTGTGGTTGCACTGAAGCAGAAATGCCCCTTCTACATTCGCTGCATTCGCCCTAACAGGCACAAGGCCGCCAAGAAGTGGGAGGATGACCTATGCGTGCACCAGGTCGGTAACACTGTCGTGACGTCCTTGGCGTCCTTAGCGTGCGGACACGTGGTCTTCCCCCCCCCTCTCTCTCCTGTCCATGCACCATCTGACCTAGTTTCAACCCGAGGCACAGTCTCACACATCGCCATCACCCAACATCGCATCCCTGCACAACACCACCCATCACGTCAACGAGGCAGGTTCGCTATCTCGGGCTGATGGAGAATCTTCGTGTCCGCCGCGCCGGATACTGCAACCGCCAGCCGTACGAGGTGTTCCTCGAACGCTACAAGGTCTGGCCTGATGTGTGTGTGTGTGTGTGTGTGTGTGTGTGTGTGTGTGTGTGTGTGTGGTCGCTGTTGTTGTTTCTGTTTCCTCATTTGAGCTACCAGTGCCAGCTGTTGTCTTGGTTCTGTAATGACCTGCCGACTGTGCCCCGCCCACTCTGCGCAATGACCGCTGACACACACACACACACACACACACACATACACACACACCATTCTGTAGATGTGCTGCAAGGCCACGTGGCCACACTGGCATCGGGAGCCAAAGGGTGAGTGAGATGCTGGGCTCTGCTGTGAGATTTCTCGCAAGCTCGTGGATGCGCTTTGCTTGCTTCATGAACCAAAGCACAAAGACGACACAGTCATGTTTTGCACGTGATGCCGATGTCGTTCTCTCACATGCACGCACGCACGCTTGTTTGCTTGCATGGACGCTTGCTTGCTTGCTTGCATGCTTGCATGCACACACGCCTTCATTCCTCAGATGGCGTGCGCAAGATCATTGAGGAGCTAAACCTGAAGGACGAAGTGGCGTTTGGAAACACACAACTGTTCATCAAGAATCCAAGCACGCTGCAGCAACTTGAAGATATCCGTGACGCCAAGATCCCGCTTGTGGTCGCCCGCATCCAGGTGATGTTGCGGTTGTGCGTCGGGTAGGACTAGGGAACGAACAAGCGTCTGCGTTTTGTTCCTCGCTCACTGACTTCACAAACACATACACACACACATACATTCACACACAGGCTGCGTGGCGAGGGCTGCTCGCTCGCCGCCATTATGTCAAGCTGCGCGCAGTTTATCGCATCATGTCATTTTGGTACCGCTGCCGCGCCCGCCGCTACCTCGCTGACGTGCTGAAACGCTTTGAAAACGTCAAGGACAGTCCCGATTTGGGCAAAGGAGTGGAGTGGCCGTCCACGCCCACGGGCCTGGGCCAGGTTGGCACACTCCTGCGCAAGGTTCACCTGTGTTGGCGCGCAAAACGCATTCTTGCGCGCTTCACGCCAGAACAGACGGAAGAACTCAAGCAGAAGATTCACGCACAGGACCTCATCAAGGGGCGTCGTCGCTTCTGGTGGGTGTGTGTGTGCGTGGGCGTGTGTGTGTGTGTGTGTGTGTGTGTGTGTGTGTGTGTGTGTGTGTGTTGACATTTTGCTCTGCGTACTCCTGTCAATCATGCTCCATTGGCATCCAAACTGGCCGCACTATCCCCTTGACCCCACGCCACCTGGCTTCTCTTCATCTCACTACTGCGTATTGTAATAATGCTGGTTTATACGCAGGGGCTTCCAATACAAGTGGGAGGGCAACTACATTGCCAAGTCTGCCGACGCACAGAAGTTTGGCGCGCAAATGCAACCGCTCATGGCCAAATACGGCGACAAGAAGGTACCCTTTGCTTTGCGTGGTGTGCAATGAGGCACAAGAGACTGCCATGTTGTCTGGTGTAATTTTCGCGGGCAACCCCACAGAGAAGAGGAAGCATTGCGCATCAAAGCCAGCGTGTGAATGTGCATGTGAGGAAAGGGGATGTGCGAAAGGTGGGGGGTGAAGGGGCGTGATGTGATGTGACGCAATTGTCTTACCTTGCCCTTTTCGGATTTTCTGGATTCGTACAGATTTTCTTCTCCTCGCGCGTGTCCAAGCTCAACACCAAGGGCAAGGAGGACCCCCGTGTTGTGGTGAGTAGTTTTGCGGTTGTGCGAATAAGCATAAGACTTCGTGACTTGCGACCTTGATTACTGCCTCCGCAGGCAGGCAGTGTGCGCTGTCAACTCCCATGCAGCATGTTCACATTCACACATACAATTTTTACACGTATACGCACACACATACACATACACGTTGACACGCACACATACGCATACACGCACGCAGGTGGTGACGGACAGGCACATTTATCGGCTGGACAGCAAGACGTTCAAAATCCACAAGCAGCCGGTTCCGCTTGACGAAGTGGAGGGATTTGGCATGTCATCGGGTGAAGACCAGGCATGCATCGTTCGCCTCAAAGGCGACACAGACCTTGTGCTCACGCTCCGTGGTGACGCATGCTCTGCCGAACTGGTCTCCCTCATCACCCAGGCAAAGGGCGAAGAGTACGTTCCGTTGATTGTGTTGGGGTGTGTGTGTGTGCGTGTATGTGCGTACTTGTGATCTCGGGTGCGTATTTCTTGTACATGTGCACGCATGAGCGCATGCGCATATGCATGTGTGCGTGTTGGGTTCTTGTTCGTGCTGTGCTGTAGCCCTGCCAGCGATTGCGCTCGCTCACCGATTGTTCTTCTGTTGTTTCGCCAACTTCTCGTCGCCAGTGTCCCTGTGGATGTCGGCAGCAAGCTCAAGTACAAGGTCAAGGGCCAGCTGCGCAGCCTTGGCTTTGAGGTGCGGTGCATGCAGCCACATGGACAGTCATGTGTGTGGGGGGGGGCCGTGTGTGCGTGTGTGTGTGTCTGTCTGTGCATGTGTGTCCGTGTGTGTGTGTGTGTGTGTCTGTCTGTCTGTCTGTCTGTCTGTCTGTCTGTCTGTCTGTGCATGTGTCCATGTGTGTGTGTGTGTGTGTGTGTGTGTGTGTGTGTGTGTGCTTTCGTGAATGTGCCCATTTTGTCTGTTTGCTGCAACAATCCTTCAATCAACCAATACGCAAGTTTGCCGTGGATGACCGTTGCTATGTGCATGTACACCCCTTTCCTTCCTTCCTTCCACCCTTCCATCACCGCTGTCGTGTACACACAGGAGGGCGATACAAGCAAGACAGGCTTTGCCCGCAAGTCCAGTGGATACGCACTTGTCACCCGCAAAGAGAGCATGATGCGCCTCAAGGTGAAAGCAAATCATTGTGCGGGAGTGGTACTGTCGTTAATCAACTGGTGTGACGGTGACTGAGGTCGCTGCCACTGTCTTGGTGGTTTGGGGGCTTCACATGTACATGTGTAGCGCGTTGCAGCATTGTGTCTCTGTTTCACTTGTCGTAAGAACCAGCTCACCTTGCCCATGGCAACATCACAACAAAACCAACCGAACGCTTCCATCATCATCATCGTCGTCGTTGTCGTCGTCGTCGTCGTCATTGTTAGGCTGGTCGCAAGCCTTCCACCACATCTGCCTCCCTTGGCGGCATCAAGGAGTAACAACCTCATCTCCTGCCACACCTGTACGCCTTCCTTCCCATGCTGTCACTTTTCTTCATCTCCTCCACTTTCACATGAGTGCTTCCACTTACCTTCCACGAAGCAACGGTTGTTTGGTTTCTTTCTCCTTCCTAACTCACTGCCGTGATTGCGTACATCCTTGCGTTGTTCTCCTCCTTCTCGTGCACAACACACGTTCAACTTTCGAAGGCCTTGATGCCCGCACTGCTGTTGGTGTTGCTGTGGTGTGTTTACTGCGCTCCCAAATTAGCAAAAGCACTGTGTGGTGCAAAAGTGCTTCATGCTGGATGTGAGGAACGAACAAGCCAAGCAAGATGCACGTGCAACTGGAGAGAGAGGAGAGGGGAGAACGAGAACAACGGGCGAAGTGCTGAGGGAAGAGGAACGAGAGAGTGTAAGAACAGCTGAAGGGGTAAGAGAGAGAAAGAGAGAGAGAGAGAGAGAGAGAGAGAGAGTGTGTGTGTGTGTGTGTGTGTGTGTGTGTGTGTGTGTGTGTGTGTGTGTGTGTGTGTGTGTGTGTGTGTGTGTGTGGCTGAGGTGGTGTGAGGGGCACCGCAGCATAGCAGCACCGCAGCGATGGGTAGTGGACCACTGCCAACACGTTGTTCACGGGTTTGGCCCGATGAAGAACTTGAGCATCTGACAGTCGTGCGGGACGAGGGCGGGAGACGTGAACGAGCCCGTGAAGTTGCCGAGCGACTTCTGCTGCCACAGATCACGCACCTCAAACGACTTGTTCGGGTTCAGCCCAAGCTGCGGCAATGGTGGTGATGGTGGTGATGGTGGTGATGGTGGGGATGGTGATGGTGATGATGAGGGAGTGAGAGGAACGTCGCGCAGGAGCATGGCGTTGTTGCCGCACCACACACACACGCACAAAAATAAAAGGGGGAACAGCCACAGCCATACACACACATACACACTTACGCACTTACACATACACACATGCGCACACCCGCACGCACTCACACAGGGTGTCTCACCTGGTCCCATGTGACGGTTACGGTGATGTTGTTGCGGTTGTGCGAGTTGTAGAGGATGACAGCCATGTCGTGATGCACGAGCGGCTTCCACCACGCCTGCCCGCCGTCCGTGTTGTTGAACAGCCGCTTCCCGGTCACGCTCAGGGGATCCTAACCAAGGGATGACACATGCCACGTGTGTGTGAGTGAGAGATGGTGATACGTGACAGGAACAACAGCACAAACGTGTCCGTCACGCAAGACACACACGCATACACACACAAGGGATAGTGCACCTGGTCGATGGCAATGACTTCCTCGTTTGTGAGAATCGCCTTCTTGTCGGCGCTGAGATTGCGCATATCTGTGGCGACAAGCAGCGGCGCAGACCACAGCGACCAGAACGAAAACCTGCGCAGGGTGGCGTTGGTGTTGTGGTTGTGGTTGTGGTTGTGGTTGTGGTTGTAAATGTGTGTGTGTGTGTGTGTGTGTGTGTGTGTGTGTGTGTGTGTGTGTGTGTGTGTGTGTGTGTGTGTGTGTGTGTGTGTGTGTGTGTGTGTGTGTGTGTGTGTGTGTGTGTGTGTGTTTTTGTCGCATTGCGGCCTGTCCCTTACCTCCT